TATACCAAACAAAAGTCATATACCGAGCAAAATTTGTTTCGTCCAAACAGGACGTATTCCGAATTGGACGTATACCGAGGTTCCACTGTATAATTTTTTATAAACAAATAATTTTTGTGCAATAAGTGAAATAACTGAAGTTTTGATTATTGCCATTTAACATCAGGTGTAAATATTATAAATTACAGAACATGATAGTAATGTTTTATGGGGATGTTTAGTTCTAAATATTATTAGCTTAACTTTTAGTTAAAAGATATTAATTATATATGTAACTTTAAAAAACTATGGTTCATTCTTGTGATAATATACTATACAATAATTATAAGGCATTATATAATATAATATAAAGATTCAGAAAGATACAGTTTGTCAATCATGTTATATATTGATAATAGAAAATGAAAAATCAGTTATTACTTAATTTGATGAAATGACACAGAATGATTTTTAACAAATGCATTTATTTTGGGAATTAGCATATCTGAAATGTATTACTATGCATAATCTACCAAATAATTTCAAACAATTCGTATAAATATAATATTTTTTTTAAGTAAACACTTATTGTTTTAGTGGTATAGTTCTCCTAAACTGATAAAAAATAAAATATTTTAAATACTTAGAGTTAAAAATGCATTCAAGTTTAATCTAAAATCAAAACAAACAAATGTTTAATTTGATTTTTAAATTAAACCTGATTTTCCAAATGAATTGTCAAATGTTTTGGTTTTGTAAATTTATATTTATCAAAGATAAGAAAATATTCATTCTGTTACATAAGATAATTTAACTAAAACATTTTTAAAGGTGATTTTTCTAAATATTGACAATCAATTTTTACAAAAGATATATAATTATGATTCATAATTTCATCAAACTTTATATCAAAAAAATTAATATGAAAAAATTTCAGCTCAATTCAAATTTTTATATTCCTGCCAAAATTTTTATAGTATAATAGGGAATACTGCATTTTATAATTTGTGTATACAATAGGATGTTGATTATCCAAAGAGGAATTTATGAATTGAGAAATAATATGATTATAATTCAAAATATAGTAATTTGAGAGGAAACTTTAGATAAGAATTCATGAAGAGTTGTATATTTTTAATATTCATTGGAAGAAAATGTATTACAAATTGATATATATCAGAATTGTTTGCAAATAATTTTGGATAATCAGTGTTCTACTGTAATATGCTTTGTGCCTTAACACTTTTGTAAATTTTAAATTTCTTTTATAGTTCTCTTAATTAAAGATGATGTCCATAAGTTATTAATTAAAGTCTCATTACTTATTTCACATTATTAAACCATCAGCACTATACTCAACATATGGTTAAAAAAAGTAAACTGTAGTACTATTATTTTTAGAAGTTATTTAAAACTATTTATTTTGTTTCAAATTGAATTTAATTAAAATAAAACTTATCAGATGAAAATTTAATTGATAAAAATTACTACTGACTGACTTTTCTGAGTTATCTCTCATTGCTTTCATCAAATCTTATTTTATATTTCTCAAAGGAAAAAAGCTAAGCTATTAGATATCTAAGTGTGTAATGATAATCAATGATAAATGTCTACCAAAAACATGTTTAAATTGATTCTAGCATTGCTTCAAGTTTTTTGACTTGTTCTATTTTAATCTAAAATAATAATTTTACATAAACTAAATTTTGTTTTTTTCCAAAATGTAATCTTCTATATAGATTTGTTATATTGCAAACTTTTTAAATCAAATTATATGTAGCATTTATTTTGCATGTTTAATTGCGTTCTCACTTAAATCTATTATTAATTATATTAATGATGATGATTTTTTTAAAATTTCATATTTTATTTCACACACACAGATACACACACAACAAATTTAAGTTACAAATAATGTATTGTTTACAACAGGATGTCCTATAAATTCATTTAATTTTAACTGGTGAACAATTAGTTACATAAATTCAATTATAAGCAAATTTATTATATCAACATTCTTGAAATATTGAAGGAGACTTTCTTAACCAGAGTGAATATCAATTCCTTAAGATGAATATTAAATGTAAATTATACTGTTTCAGAAATCCAAATATTTAATGTCTTTGATGTGTGTTGGATTATTACAGTTCTGAAAACACTAAACGTTAAATATCTGGGCTTCTGAATTTTACGTTGCCATACAGAATACTTACTTTTCACCAATTAGCTTTTATCCTTTGCTAAGTATAAATCATTATTTAGAAAAACTTGAATTAGCTCAAAATTTTACTAGTATATGAAGATATATGTGAAAAAGTTAAAGAATTTACAGGGCAGCCTGTATCTAACTATAGATTTTGTGATTGTAGTGACTTTCTAGTTAATGAATTTATAACAATTGTATACAAAATTAAATGATACGAAGTTATTAATGAGAATAAAATGTAGAATAAAATTGAAAGTTCTTATTTTATGAATAGTTCATAAATGAATAAAGTTTGGTATTTTCAAACTATATATTGGTATGTTAATCTATGCAAATCTATATTAAAAAAAATTGCCATCATAAAATATAGTATTTGAAATATGTAAGTCAAAATAATGTCATGTTTATTTTTGTCAGAGAGTGAATTAAGTTCTCTCTCCTAAATTTAATGTGATTTTTATAATATAAGAGAAACAAAGATTTGTTTCCACAGAAGCATATATAATGTTTCCACAGAAGCATATATAATGAATGAAAATATAGTAATTTACCTTTAAACCAACCATTTATAGATAATTACATACATTTCATTTAGAGGTTAAAATCCATAGTAAATGTAAGATTATATAAATTATGCAGAAAAAATCATTTTAATATAAACACAATATTCCAAAATGTATTTCACTTATGTACGTATATTGAAATTTCTAATGGTTGAAATAAGGGTGAATTACTGAATTAATATTTCAAGTTTTATAGTAAAGCATTTCATAATCAAAGTGACATTGTGAATAAATATATTAATTGTTTATTATAAATTTGTTTTAAAATAACTAGTATTTGCATTTTTTTTATTTTATATGTTCATTCATTTTGACATTATCATATAACAATTTCATGTTTTATCAATGTTTTCTTATTTGTAAGACAATAAATGTTGTGTTTATTGTTTCAATATCAAATTAAAAAGTGCATGTAAGGAATGTATGATGATGATGATATTTTATTATAAAAATTATTTGCACTGTAAATATTTGATATGTAGGAGATCAGTGCCTTTTATTGGTAACTTTTTTATTGTGAAAAATTCTTATTTTATGTGTAAAATTGTGTATTGTTTACATTGTATTAAATATGTGAATCATATAAATCTTTTAAATATACATTCAATAGTAAAAATCGTTTGTTTACACTATAAAATTATTTAATATATATTATCTTAAATTGTATTTTATATTTTTTGGTAATTTTTAACTATTTAAAATTTCTATTTGCATAATAATCTTATTTTAATTAGGATTTTTTAATAAATGAAAGAAATTGTGTAATGATCAAATGTAATTTTGATGATTATTTCAGATTTAGCTTTAACTTTTATTCACATTAATTGATATACATTCTAAATTGTGTTAATAGAAACATCTAAATATTTGGCTAACAAAAGTGATGAAACATTTCTATATAAAAATGTGATTGCATCCAAATTGATATTTTTGAAGTTATAAAATTGTTACAAAAAGCTATGTAATAAGAATCTATGCTTCAATAGATGCTTTAGCAAGTCTTTAAAATAAAATCTTAAGAAGCTTATCTATACATTTATTATTTACTAAATGTTTTCAAATTATTTAAAAATTTCTTAACATCTTTCCTTAATTGAAAATTTAGAATATTGTGTAAAATAAATCAAAATTCAGTAGTAGCACAATTTTTTGAAAATTTTCAAACAATGAAATATCCATAAAGGAACGTCTTAAATTATGTACTGCATTTATGTTATGTTATATTTTGCAGTAAGTATAAAATGATTTTAAATATGCACAATTTTATTTTACTTTGCTGTTTTTGTAAACAATGTAAAATCTAGAATATCAATTTGTTGATTTTGCACAGCACACATAGCATGCACTATTCACACAGATAAAAATAAAATTTTGCAAATACTGAATTTTTAAAA